TTTTGACATTCTTTTGTTTTCAGGAAAAATGGAGACTACTTCCAGCTTTTTTGAAGGTTAGTAAAAAGTATGATCAGAGTGGGGAAATCTTTACCTTTTTTTACAAAGTAATTATATATAGTTGCTGGTTTTACTCAGTTGTTGTCTACAATAATGAGAAAATACATTTAAAATACAAATGCACTTTGTTATTTCTTCATCTGGATTGCTTATTCTTTCCTTCTGTAATATCGTGTTTTGCATAATATTACATCTTTTCCTTTTAATTTTACTCTCTTGGGTATTGCTGCTTTTGTGGTAACTTCAGGTACTGGGGGAATAGAAATACTGCTGGGACCAAATAAGGCAGTGGCTATTTGGTGGGAGGCTGCAACCTGTCTAGAGTAGGGGAGAGACTTAGGAGGGATGATTCCCCTTCCCTCTGTAGAGGTTGTATCCTGACCCAAGAAGTTTGTGTAAGTGGGAGAAACCCCCCCACCCACCCAATGGAAATACCTTGCTCCTTAACTCCAAGTCAGTTGCTGCTCCGTGCCTGTTATTCCCCCCTCTGATCTCGCGTGAAACCACTGACTGGCATTTATTAACAGTCGATGTGGGTATGTGCTGAATTATGGTTTAATTCACCTTTCCATTTGTATTGGAGTTATGCCTGGTGGTAGCATAGGCCTGCTTAAGTCATGAAAACATGTTTTGCATAATCTTTTGCTGCCTGGAGCATTGAATTTGCACTGACCTTTTTGTTTGACAACAAACAGGCAGTTGTTTTCAGGTCCTTTATGACTTGGCACCTCTCTCTGAATGGGCTGCTTAGACTTGGGGCACCTGATCTGTGGGAAAGCATCTTCTCTGCGGTGGCTCCCAGGCTGTGAAACGCCAACCTTGTGATGAAACATACTAATATAATAGTGAGCATTATTTATGCAAAACCAAATTGATATTTTAAGTAATTTAAGATACTATGGAAACCCTTCAAGTAACATTTCAAAGTATCAAATAAATGAGATTTAAGCAGTTCAAAAGTTCTGTGTTTGTTTTCACTGAAGATAATCTTCCTATTTTAGGTAAAAGGACTTGTAAAGCAACATATAGATTCATTCAATTATTTCATCAATGTAGAGGTAAGCCATTTTGTTTTATTGAATATTAAAGCCTATAAGTAGTCCTCGACCTACAGCCACAATTGGGACTGAATTTGTCATAAATCACTGCTGTCATAAGTCAAGTTAGACTCAATTTTACAATGTTTATTGTGGACATTAAATGAATCACATGGTTGTTAAGTGAATCCAGGTTCCCCAGTGGGTACTTTTTGCCAGAAATTGGTTAAAGTCACAAATCATAATCATGTGGCCACAGGATGCTGCAACTGATCATAAATGTGAGCCAATTGCTAAAAGTCCAAATTTCAGTCATGTGACTATGGGCGTTTTGCAACAATTGTAACTGCAAGTACAGATTGTAAGTCACTTTTTCCAAGACTATGGTAACTTTGAATTATTGTTAAATGAACAGTCGTAAGTCAAGTACCTGTATAGCATATCCTTCAACCTATGTAAACCTTCTTTCATTTTCAGATAAAGAAAATAATGAAAGCCAATGAAAAAATTACAAGTGATGCTGATCCAATGTGGTATTTAAAGTAAGCCTGAATTTTATTCTGATTGTAGCTTGAATAACCTGAGCCTCAACTTCCATGGAGGCTTTTGTTTAATCCATAAAATCTACTGCAAAATCTTATATGAAATGCTGCAGATGTGCAGAATAACATATGATATAATTGATTTAGCTAAGATGGATTAATAGTAATATGGTTTTACTCCAAATAGGTTTAATGAAAAAAACCTTTTTTTCTTGTGGTTAAATATTTGTAGTATTTAGTCTGATTTTTCTAAATATTCATAATTAATTTTAGTAAATAGAAATCTAGTAATATTAAACATGAACTACATATTTGATAATTGATTCATATTCTATTTTTAATTATTTTATTGGATTTTATCTTGCAGATATCTCAATATTTATGTGGGCACTCCAGATGTTGAAGAAAGCTTCAATGTAACAAGACCTGTTTCTCCTCATGAGGTATGAGCTTCTCTTCAGCACTTCACTTTGAAAATTATTTAACAACTATTAAATTAGAGTGAGTTTACAATACGCTCTCAGTTAAGGAGAGGTGGTCTATTATAGTAGAATGATAGTGTACATAAATGTAAAAGATTTTTCTGCATATAATATTTGCACAGATTTTAACCATTGCATCTGAAATCCACTAAACCAACTACTATAATACTTTAGTTTACTATAATAGTATAGTTTATTCTCATGCTATCTATATTGCTATAGATAAAATCCTAGCAGTTAAAAACATGGTAGTCTCTGAGAAAAGCATTGAAGGAGTGTTGATGGCTTCCCCATATGGAACTTTTTTTTTCTTTTAAGTGTCGCTTGAGAGATATGACTTATTCTGCCCCAATTACAGTGGACATTGAATATACTCGAGGCAGCCAAAGAATTATTCGTAATGCATTACCCGTTGGCAGGTAAGAAACTAATATTAACCTTAGTTAACACATAACAGAATATAGTTAGGAACTCGGCTTGATAGTGGGCATGACCTTGATCTGAACAGGCACCAAGATTACAATTAGCATTTTATGGATAAAAGTTAGTTAGTTTATTTGTTTGCGTATAATACTGGTCATTTTCACCTGAGTGTAAAGCAGAGACATTATATTAGTCTAGCACTTTGAATTTAATCTACCTTAGCATTAGAACACTCAGGATAATCCTACCTAATGAAACTTCTACCTGTGGTCAGATAGTAGCTTGAATCCAGCAAAAGTTGCAATGGTGGGTCTCTAGCTCCAGGAGTAGAATGTCATAGCTAAAGCAGGGTCTTGGCTTGCGCTATTCTTTGTGATTATCCTCTTAATCACAGAAACAATTATATTGAGCCAGGGTTTTTGGGAAGTTGGTTACCTTGTGAATGGCAGGTCCTTCACAACCTGACTTCATACTGAAGTCAAGTACCAGCTATAGCAGTGATGGTGAACCTTTTAGAGACTGAGTGCCCAAACCGCAACCCAAAACCCACTTATTTATCGCCAAGTGCCAGGGCCACATCAGCATTGTGGTGCCCTCGGGGGGCATGGGGCGTGGCCCACTGGGTGGGCATGGCTGCAGTTGTCACAGTAAACTGGGTGGGCATGGCTGGGGTGGGCATGGCCACCTCGATGTTGCTCATGGAGGGGACGCCTGCGGGGTCCGGGCAGGGTTGGGGGAGGTCCAGGGGGTCTCTGGCAGGTGGGGAAGTGGACAGGAGGCCCAGCATAGATGGGGGGAGGCACGCAATCCTAGCTGGGACTGGGGGGCCCAGGCCCCGATGGGGATCCAGCTTTCCCTGCTCAGGGTGGCCTTTGGCTTGCTGAGTGTGGGCGTGCTGTACCACCTCTACTCGATCTTGCTAGCTGGCCGCTTCACCTCCTTTGTGCCTAGTGGGGCTGCCGCTCTGGGCGGTGGCGGCGGCCTAATGGACCTGCACAAGCTACTGGCAGCAGTGGCGTGCGTGTCCACAGAGAGGGCTCTGAGTGCCGCCTCTGGCACGCGTGCCATAGGTTCGCCACCACTGAGCTATAGCCTCTGTTTCTGCTAGAATAATAAAGACAGAAGAAAAATAAATGAAAAATGTGTCAATGTGTCACACAAATTTTGGTGATATGGGGGCAGTAGATTCATAGACTGTCAGTATGGTCAATATATTGTCTGTTCAAAAATACTTCTCTAAGCCAATTTTGGTGGGCTCTTATATTATTAATGTGGACCTTATGCATTTTAAAAGACAAAAAAGATTATGCTGGTTTGCTCTTTGATTTCGTTAAGCTTCAAGGCATATTTAAAGAACTAAAAGAGCATGTCACTTTGTACATAGTGCGTTTGCCTGTTGTGTTTTGTTGATGAGCTGCTAGTCCATTTAAATGCTGATATTGTACTGGCAAAATACTGGAAATGAGTGATGGTCAGTATCTTTCATTTTGCTTTTGTAATGCTAATGAATGCTATTCGTGCAATTAAGAGGCAGTAGCAACCTTTTCTTGTTTGTAACCAGCAGCCACCTTAATGCAATCAGAAAATCAAGGGCAACAAAGAGTAGCTGAGACACTTACTTTTTGTTGGGTGTTACACTTAGTAGACAGGTGACAAAATCCTCATGTCCATCTGCTATAGGGGATTGATACTGATGACTGTTGGCTGTGCAACCCAAGTTGCATATCTTGTGTATAGTACTTTTGCATCATGTGATTTGATTGCAAGCAGCGATTGTGCTTTGGGGGAATAGGTCTCAAGTTGGAGATCGTATTCCAGTCTGGTTTGGATTAACATCAGTGGAGAGGAAACAAGATTTAAAAAATTTTAGCATGAGAAGGGTCTCTGATTTGATTGGCCCTTTTGGATTTTGAGTCTGTGTGATGGGTAGATAATTAGATAATGCAATTAAAATCTTTCCTGCAACGTCAATTCTAATATCAATATACCCTGTAGCATTATTACAATTTTGTTTTATTGTCAAATCAAGAGTTACTCTTGATTCCTACAAATTACATGCATTTTCTTTCCTATTTTCATTTCAGGCAATTTAGCTTAAGTACTTACACAGCTTTGAATGTATATCAATATATTTTTATTGCATATGAAAACAGTTCTTTCTGCTTTCTCTACCTTGTTTCTCTGGGATGTTGATGCCAGATTGCATATATATAATTTGATTTCTCTGTACTAAATGAATGAACTTTCTAAATCAACAACTCAGTAGTTAGGTTACAGATAGTCTCATTTATTGCCTACCTCATTTATTGATCATTTGCAGTTATGACAGTGATGAAAATTTAACTTCATGATCAATCCTTGTGTTTCAGACCTTTGCAGAGCTATAATTTTTAAGCTGCACAAATTATTTTTTAAACATAGAATGGTTGGCACAGCATGATTGTAGCCATACTATGGAAATACCTAACATAAAGGAACTCCTGCATTTATGTTAGCAAGTTAATTCAGATTTTATGATGTAGTAATTTTTTTATACCACTATTGCTGGCATTACAATTAAATAGAAACCATGCTTGACCTTTGCTTATTTGGCTAAAGAAATTCCTATATTTGCATATATTCACTGCATTGATGCAAGCATTTCTAATCTAAAAACAGTTGTGAAATATGAAAAGCTGCAAGAGAAAGTTATAAAGAATATAAGATATATTCATATCTCATTATTCAGTTTCCTGTTTATAGATCTCCTAAGGCCTACTTGTTATAAGAACTGTATTTGTAACAGTCCAAAAGGACTGATATAAATTGATTTGGTAGGTAAAGATCAATAAAGTTGCTTCTTTCTGCATTGCATGATTGGCTGCCACTAACATAAATAATATTAACATGATCCAAGTCATAGTCGATCTATGATAGTGCTTTGCCTTGACAATGAAATACGGCACTTCTCTGTTCATATATAAATACAAAAATGTTGTATATTATCTGAAACTATGAAAAAAGACCTTAGCTACCACAATTATTACCTGGCTTACTGTTTTTCCAGTGGTATTTAGGTAACCTGTCTAAAAGACCAGTGATAAACCATTAATTTATGCTATTTTTCTTCCTATAGGATGCCGATAATGTTACGTAGTTCCAATTGTGTTCTCACTGGGAAAACTCCAGCAGAATTTGCGAAGCTTAACGAGTGTCCTTTAGATCCAGGTTCCAAATTTATTTTCTAATATTCTTTGCTATTTTGGTTAAGCATTGATTCCTTTTAAGATAGTCATTACTAAGATTTTGCAATCATGAATTAATGTGTAGTCTGAGATTTTGCAGCTCAAAGCTGCAGTAATGAAAACAATTACTAAGTGTCCTTTCAAGGAAAAAGCAGCATCAGTGGAAGTGGTATTTCATGTGATTTTCTTGTATTCAAATCCCTAATATTCCTTAAAGTTTAATTAGCATATTTATATAGCCGTTCATCTCACAAACATGTGACTCTGGGCAGCATACAACACAACAACAGTGGGCTCATGTAGGTGTTAAATAGAAATGAAGAGAGTACTGAACCCTGCAGAACCCCACAAAATAAGGGTTAAGGATGGGACCTCTCACTCCCAACTGACTGACTGGAACTGGCCCCACAGAGAAAGCAAGTGAGCTAGAACAATCCTCTGCCACCCACTCCCAGCCCATGGAGCTGGCCCAGAAGGATACCATGGTAAATGGTATCAAAGGCCACCAGGAAGTCAAGAAGAGATAGATGTACTACCCCTCTCCCACACCTATCAGAGAACATCTAAAAGAGTGACCAACGACATCTCCATCCCATATCCATATCCCGACTGAAAGGAGTCCAGGTTTATCCAGGGATTTATTATCTTGCTGAGGGTTTAGGAAATTCCAAATGCATATTTCAAAATTGTATAAATCTTAATTAGATTTCAGCACCCGAACAAACAAACATTCATCTTCTATTTGGTAGGCGGCTACTTCATTGTCAAAGGAGTGGAAAAGGTCATTCTTATCCAAGAGCAGTTATCGAAAAACCGAATAATAGTGGAAGCTGACAGAAAAGGAACAGTTGGGGCATCAGTTACCAGGTAGGTAAAAGAATTATTGAATAACTATCTCTTATGTTAAGCTTGACTGGAATTTAGAAAGTTATTTTAGAATTATTCAAGAACTTAGACATGTTGGGGACAGGTTCTTTTCAAATACTTCCCAACATAATATCCTGTCACAAATAATCCTCAATATCCTTCACATCCACTTTCATCCTTCAACCTCCCATTTAACATTCACTCACATTTCTCTCTCAGCTCTCTTGGTGCTCTTGATCCACTATCTGTCCCTCATTCACTTTCCCTCTCTTCTTCGTCGCCATTCTCTTTCCTGTTCTAATCAACAAAGACAAGTCCCCCCCATCATCCAACCTCTGGCACAATTGTCTCCAAATCCAACCGAATCACATAGTCTGCCACCAGCTTCTGTTGCTTGGCTTTTTTGTCTGGCTAACAACTGGCCAGTCTCTCACTGACAAGCTGACTGGCAGCTCACTATGATTGTTCTTGCTGCCCATCAAACCTTTTGGCTATTCCTGGCCTGGCAGTTATAGTCAGCAAAAACTGTCCTCTGTCTGGGTCATCTTCTCACTGAGCACAGCTCAGAGAAACGGTTGATACAGTAGCTCATTTTCAATTTTTAACAGGAACCTATTTTGGGGCTATGAAATTCCAAATATACAAGAAGTCTTGGCACTTTTTCCTCTCTGAATAAAAAGTATAAATATTAATACTATATTCCTTTTTTCTAACTAATGCCTAGTTCTACGCATGAGAAGAAGAGCAGAACAAATATAACTGTGAAGCAAGGAAGGTTTTATCTGAAGCATAACACCCTTTCAGAAGATATTCCTATAGCAATAATCTTTAAGGTATTCTTAATAAACACCATAGTAATATTATTCTTAACTTCAGAAATTTGAAAAATTATTTAAAACAATGTGAGAACTTTAGCTTTTGTGTGTATAAGTCCACTGATTTTGTTTAGGTCTACTGTTTTTTATCCAGCCTTTTCCAACCAAAGACTTTTTAAAATGGGTTCTGACTGCAGTTCTCAGAAAATACCTGGAGAAAAGGCTGCTTAGCAATGTACTCCATAGTGTAGAGTTTGAAAAACACTTTTATTCATTGGTTTTGAACACTTGGCTTGCATTTGGACATTGTTAGAATGTTCATACTGTTCTGTCCTTTTGTCTCTTTATAAGAGGAGAACAGAAATACAACTGAAGGAGAAAATATCTTGAGTAGGTGGAAAAAAAGACATGAGTGAGAAAGGAGAAAAAATGTAAAAGGATGTGGCACAAGACTGGGAAATATGGTACTTTTTTATATCTTGTTGCTTGCCTGCGTCTCTTAAAAGTTGACTTACTAAAGGCAAAGCATGTATCTCTAACATCAGATCTATTTGTGGTCCCCAAAAGGTGGTGACGAGAGCACTATTTAGGTTCTGCTACGTGGGTGTTTTTTGCTTTGCCAGGCTCCCTAAGGCATCCATTTTGTGAACAATAAAGTTTCCTATTACCGTTATTTTGTGAATGTGATCATCGCAAGCTCTCAAAATTCTAGATATAGTTCCAGATCAAAAAAGGTTGCCTATTTGTGAGAGAGTGAGTAACAAGACCTGAAGATGACAGATATTGCCAATGCCAGTACACACTGACCCGATTTTTGAGCCCTTTGATTGGAAATTTGTTATTAACTGTTTCTGAGACCATTTTAATGCCATAATCTTATATCTTTTAGATGTGTTGTATTACATCTCAGATTTGAAAAGCATTGCCAGAAGAGGGCAGTGCCTGATCGCAATACAACAACCAAAAAATGGGTTGGAGTGTGGGGCTGCTTTGAAATGTTATCTTTAGGGATTGAAACTTTTATGTGTTTTTTGGTTTTAATACTACATAATTTATTCCTGATAAGAAAAATCTTTCAATTCATTTTGCCAGATTAATTATTTGTTCACATACATCAGAGAAGGTCATCAAATGTTCTGATAGCATGTCACTTTATTATTCACTTTGTGTGTTAGTAACTATGAATTTAAATTTTAACTTTTGTGCCACATGCTATATTTTTCCTGAAAGCAAACGTTTCTTAGAGCAGCATATGTGCTTAAAACTGTCTGTCTGAATAGCATTTTTAATATAGGAAATGGATAAATATTTTGCTGGCAGTAGGATATTAAGATAAGAGCAGGTTGTCTGGAGCATTTAAATGGTACACTACAGTAATACAATCCTGGTTATAGTATCATGCTTTGGATTTGGCTTGCAAAACATTTGCAAAGAAATTGTCACTATGGTACCTTCATTTAGTAATTATTTGAAATAAATGTTTCTGTTTATGTTTGTATCATATGTGAAGTAGCAAAATAACCTTTAGATAGTAATATTTTCATATGGCGATTTGCAAACCTGTCTGTCTGTCTAGTCTAAAAACAGATTACTTATACTCATAAAACCCCAAACAATCCTGAGCTCTTTGGAGAAATTTGTTAGCAACAGCCCATTTTTTTTGGATGAGTATGAGATATAAATGCTGTACCAGTGAATAAGGATGAAATAATATATGATAAAATAATTTTCTCAAAATTACTGTTACCTGACACTTAATATGTAGTTTTTTTTGAAGAACTGTAATATACATTGATAACCCTTAGAAATCCTTTGAACAGTTGTAAGTGTTCTTTCTCATAGCAAATATCCGCTAATACTTTGTCAGTTTGTTGGGGACTACAGTAGATAAAAATAGCTTTTCGTGTTAAGGGATTTATGTTTAACATGAGCTCTGCCACATGTTCACTAGCAAATCATCTGAATGATGGCTTGGTGGGTTCTCAGCTACAGGCTATCCTGAGAGGAGCAGATTACCTTGACCATTTCAAACTAGCTTTAGAACAAACTATAAAGTTGACACAACCTCGGTCAGTTTGAGGATCAATAATGAGAATGTGTTTCTGTTGCTTCTCATAACCCTCTCAGTAGCTTTGGCTAGTATTTTTTCTAGATAGCCTGAGACAATTGGATAGTGGTTCTATTCCTATCTCACAGGTAAATTTTAGATGATGTTCCTTAGAGATAGTTGCTTTTCGAAATGGGAGCTATTATATGGTGTTCCTTGAAAATCCCTTCTATTGCCAATGTTTTTCAAAATAACACTGCTTGATATGATCAACATGACACCCAAATCTATTTCTCTGTAACAGGAAATGATTTAGCTCCTCTAAATGCCTCTCTGTAGTTACTAATGTTCTGGGCTAGAGATAACAAATTAAAATTGAATTCAGACAAAATGTTTGTTGCAAGAAGCCATAATTGTGGGGGCAGGGGTGTAGATCTGCTTGTGAATGGGATTACAGCCTCCCAGAAGAACTGGGTATATACCTTGGGTTGCTTCTGGATGCAACTTTCCCTGGTTTCCCTGACTTATAAAATAGACAGGAGCACTTTTTTAATAGCTTCAGTTGAATTCAGTGAATTCTCCAACACTGGAAGTTTTTAAGAAGAGACTGGACAGCCATTTGTCCGAAATGGTGTAGGGTTTCCTGCCTGAGCAGGGGGTTGGACTCGATGACCTTCAAGGTCCCTTCCAACTTTATTGTTGTTGTTGTTGTTGTTGTTGTTGTTGTTGTTGTTATTATTATTATTATTATTATTATTATTATTATTATTATTATTATTATTATTATTATCTAACTATATCTCTCTCTGAAAATTGATAATATAACCTCCACTCTTCTCTACAGTAATTTCATTTATGTGGTGTTTGTATCTAACCTGGAAACTTCAGTGAAACAAAATTCAGTATAGTACTGTAGTTAGATTGATCTTGGGAAGAATGTGAAGTGGTCACATTATATTTGTGCTTAAAGCACTGTACCAACTACTAACGTATTTGGGGCAAAATACAAAGTGCTGGTCATTACCTTTAAAGCCCTACACGAGTTAAATTCTGGTAGTTTAAGAGAATGCCACATACAGGAACCCCTTTCTTACTAAGAGAATCTATGCAGATTCACTGACAATTTCTGCAAGTTCACTAGAGAAGTATCTCCTCTGTTGTTGCCGCAGCTTTTTAGAATGTCTTCTCTGCGAAGTTGAGTGGCTAACAATTGTATTAGTTATTAAAAGACCTTCAGAAGAAATCTTTCAGTACAGCATTTGACCAAAGTTTTTCTAAAATTTAATTTTAACCGTTTTACTTATTATAGGTGTTTATTTAAATCATTATTGTAAATGTAATCAATATTTTAATTGTAACATAGTTTTTACCATACACTGCCAAGAAATAAATATTTTCTAAATTCTGAAGTCTAGCCCACGTTGCCAGTAATAATTCAATCTTTCAGGGGGTTTTGAGATGGCCCAAGGTAAACCTGCAGGAAAAGAGAAATACTCAAATGCTAGAGGCTACTATCTCCCAGCCCATGTGGTGGCAACAAACAAAAAGTAAAACTAACAGCCTGTAAAGGAATTCATAGCAGAGTCAAACACATTTTTAAAGAAAAATAAAGAACACCATCTAATATGTTGAGGTAGGCAGTTCTACTTATTCCATTGCCACCAAGAAAGTCCCTTTCTTCTGTTTGAGGGCAATGCTGCAAACAAGAAAGGCTCTTAAGTGAGCAGCTCCAAAATATTTAGACACACCCCCTCAATGTTGTTGAATCCTAACTACTGTTGTGTTTTTTTTATATGCATTTTTGACACAGTGTAATTCCAAGCTGATATGTGAAAGCAGAAGCTTTAACATTATCTGCAATTCACAAAGATCTGCACTGCTGTCTGCCAGTTTGAAACACTATTTATAGAGAGATTTGGGGAGATTTAAAACCTGAAAAGCTCATTTATATTGTAAGCCTTTTTTTTCAATATAAAATATAATCTGGCGCTTATGAACTTCTGAGAAAAAACAAAAGAACAGGATTCTAAGGATAGCATTATGTGTGAAATCCTAACCTATTTTTGTAAGATTTGACTCATTACCAATACTCATTAATATTGCATCACAAAGAAGTAGAGCTGGCTCCACTTCGTTGGTGGAGACAATACGTAAGTATGGCAGGTGACGGTAAAGAGGGCAGGTTATAGTTCTATATCAGTGGTGGCGAACCTATGGCATGGGTGCCAGAGACGGCACTCAGAGCCCTCTCTGTGGGCACGCACACCGTCACCCCAGTCCTAGGCCTTCAGTTGGGTTTTATAAAACCTTTTCGCTTTAGGCTTCTGCCGCCATGTGCAAAAAAAAAAAAGTTCAATCAATCAGTCAATTTCAACTTCTTGAGAGGAAAAAAAAAGATCTTGCAAAGTTGGAATTGATTGATTGAACTTTTTAGTCCCACCCAGTTTGCTGTTACCACCGCAGCCTGCCCAACCAATGGGCCACACCCACCCAATCGGCCACACCCAGCCAATGGCCACACCCACCCGGCACCCGACGATGCATAAGTGGGTTTGGGTTGCAGTTTGGGCACTCGGTCTCTAAAAGGTTCGCCATCACTGTTCTATATCTTAATTTCCTACCATTACTATGGAATGCTTTTAACGTTTCTGGTTTTTGTTTTCTTTTTTTGTGCTTTCCCATGTGTATCCTACATTCTCCATGGGGGCAGGTCTATGCTTGCTAAGTGCCCGCTGTGGTGTTTGTATGCCATGCACCTACACAGTGCTGTAGTAACAATCCAGGTTCCTCTTCCATAGGAAGCAGTGCTCAGAGGCAGGATTTGGTAGTCTTCAGTAATCCCACTTGAAATGCAGCTACTCCTGAGAAAGGGAGGTGCATATTGCGAACTTGATCAGTAATAACTTTATACAACCTTATTGGGTTGTGTATATACAAGCCCCAATTCCTGTAGCTCTTCAGCTAGTTTATTCTGCTGCAGTTGTCACTTGCTATTTATTGAGAAAATGTATGAAGTTTCTTCTTTATACATCAGCCAATAACTTTCTAGTAAAAATATACTGTCTCAACATTCATCTTTCCTGCTTTCAGTGCTGCTTATCAAGATTTCCTTTTGATGAGTAGGTGCTGCTGCCAATGCCAGATGGTCCTATTTCTGAGAGAACTCGCTTTTGCTTAAGAGTTTACTGACTACAATACCAAATTAGCATAAGCAAATGTCAGCGAGTTAACAGAAAGCCAACATTCTTTCTCCCCTTTTCTACCTTTTATTTCTTTTCCTCCCTCTGTAGGCCATGGGGGTTGAGAGTGACCAAGAGATTGTGCAGATGATTGGAACAGAAGAGCACGTGATGGCTGCGTTTGGCCCCAGCTTGGAGGAATGCCAAAAAGCTCAGATTTTCACACAGATGCAGGTGTGTGATATTCAAGCATCCATCTATGGTGCATTTGTAATGAAAATGGGCTTTTTAACCCGTTCAAAAAGTAGTGAGTAGCAAGAAGATGCATCAATAGATCTTTTACTTGTCACTCCTCTTTGCTTAATTAGGTCAGGAGAGTAAACCCATAACCAAAGGCCTGTAGAATATCTAAGAGTTTATTAGAAAGGTTGAAATAATAAATCTCTGAATTGCTCCGTTAGGTGGCTAATGAAGTTTATGCTTTGTTCTAGAATAGTAACATATTAAACTTGTATCATATAAATGGTAGTAGGGGTAGCATTTTAAAATATCCTACCAAAATCTGAAATAGCACAGCACATACTTAATGAAACATTTGTCCCATCCAAATTACTTTGATAGGTAGGAAAAGTCTAGCTCATATAGAGTATTTTGACCTCATGAATGAGACTTTTAGCAGATTTACTGAAATACCTGATATGAAACCAGACAAGCAAAATAAAAGCAAATACATAAAGGTGTTGCCTTATATTTCAGATTACAAATTGTTTTAACAATCCTTTAATATCAGAAAAAGACAATATAATCAAATGCAAATGCTGAGCCTTTTAAATGGAAGCTATCTACTGCATAGCTAGAAAAAGAGATGCGTACCCATTCAGTGTTAAACTTAAGCTAGGTGATATATTTTCTTAATTGTAAGGGATTAATTTAAAATAACAGAGCGTAACAGAGTAATTGTACTGCTCAGCCATTTGTACCCCTCACCTGTTTAAAATAACCTTGTCCTGCTCTCTGGTTTTGCTTTTCAGCCAGCCTTGTTCTGGCTTGTTGACTTCCTTGTAAAGTAAAACATCTCAATAAATACTGAATTTCCCCAAGGGGAAAAAAGTACATTGAAAATGATTTGTGACATGTATATAATGATGGCAATAATGATTTTCAGCACACAATCTTTTCACTTCGCTTTGCAGGCATTGAAATATTTGGGAAATAAAGTCCGAAGGCAGCGAATGTGGGGCGGTCCCAAGAAAACCAAGATGGAGGAAGCAAGAGAGTTGTTGGCAACAACTATTCTTGCCCATGTGCCGGTAAGTGCTTTATTCTTAAACTACAGGATACCTTCCTACTTTGCAGGAATGACTATGGAATGATAGATGAAATTGAATTCAGGAAGAACTGCTGCTCCATTTATTATTAATAGCTTCTGGTGATAGTTTATATATACAACTACTTATATACCACCCTGCTTCATAAAACTCAAGACAATACCAACTATTGTTAGGCACAAATAATCAGGAACAGGTGTTATGTTCAAAGTACTAAGAGTTTATTCTTGTCACCTATACACAAGACTCTTGAGTTACTAGCAATCCAAGCTAAATTGGTGCTAGATAAAGGTCAACAAAATTCGGGGGGGTGGGGGGACTGCGCAGTGATTCCAAACTCATTATGCATTATAACCCTGCCCTCCAGCACAGTATGCTCATCTACATTTATAAAGCAACACAGCAAAAAGTAATTAAAATAATCTATATATAATTTTAAATAGGAACAACATTATTCATTTATTGTCAGTATTAATTGGTGTCCTCATTTATAAATGTATGCAACAACCTATGGCTTTACATGCCTATGCAGATGAATTTACAGTCTATCCTGCAGAATAGATTGTTGATCCTGGGTGAGACACAAGGCAATCTTACTCAGAATTTTTGAGAGATATGTACATAATCTGAGACAGAGAGAGATCCAGGTATCTATTAAACCTGAAAAACTATCTGCCCATTAAATAAAACGTATTCTCCTTCCCCATATTACATGTAATAACCACTAAATTGTTATTGCCAGCAATAACAATAAAACCATTCATTGGAATGGTTTTACTGTTAATGATACACTGATCACATACTTGCAGCCTCTTTCCCTCCTGATTTTCTGTCTCTTTTGTGGCTTGAAGACAGATATTTTGAACCCAGGACCAGCACTGTGCTCTGCAACATGTAGATATACTGTATTGTAAAAAGATAAAATTGGCCATATGTTGTTATAACAGAGTTAAGCAAAGTTAACCATAAGTTAATGATCAGGCAGTTATCTGGTTGGTAGTTTACATAACAATGAATGTATTGCTCTGAAATGACATTTTCTCCAGTACTCTAACTGTGGATAATATTGAGAACTAATGTGGTGCTTTACCCAGAACAATTGAAAGAGAGTTTCCAGAAATATACTGTATACTGTCAGACCCATTCCCAGAAATTAGAAGCTTGGGCAAACTGTGGTACCAGAAAACATGATGTAGGAATAGAGAAATAGCAGAGGGTAGGCCATGATAGGAAAGGAAGAAGGCATTTTAAAAAAGATCAGTTACAATCAAGGTGGTATCCAAGCATTTAACGCATGGTGGATCAGTTTTAAAGTCTAAGAAGAACGTATCCCAAGGCCCTTGTAGAAAGGAGAGGCTGTAGTGATAAATGCCTAACAGAGGGTTAAAAAACACAATCTAGAGACATTTTCATGCAAGGTACTGTCACTTAAGTTAACTTTCTCATTTTTGCTTTTTCAGGTAAAAGAATTCAACTTCCGCTCCAAGTGCATCTATACAGCTGTGATGGTCCGCAGGGTGATTCTAGCTCAAGGAGATAACAAAGTGGATGACAGAGATTATTATGGAAACAAGAGGCTGGAACTAGCAGGACAGGTAGATGCACCTTGAAGCTTAATAAAATTGGACTATGTTATTTTGCCTAATGCATCAGATCAAATGCGCAAAGTAATTTAATTTAAAGTGTTAGTGATGTAGTTGTTTTATTTTCTTAACCAAATTGATGAAATAAAAATACTGTTCCTTGATTTAAAATGAAAAGCCGTTTGCAAAAGATTGCCTTTCCATCCAATCAAAAAGATGCATTTTATTTGGCTGTTTCCCCCTTGCTCTCAAATGGGGCATGCATGACTATAGCCATAGGGTCCTAGAAATTGCCAGTTCCCCCAGAGTGAAATGCAGAGATAGATGCTGCAGTTGGGGTGTTTATCTCAATCTGACCCAACTGCAGAGTGGAGAGAGCCTTTGCATGACCTATGCTGTTGTGGCTCTGGAATTCAGCAGAAAAGAAATCATAAATGCAAAAAGGAGTGGGAGGAAGAGCAACTCAAATGTGGGCATTTAAAAGTAAAGGTCTCCTGAGTTTACACATGTGTTAATGTAGATAAAATTCCATTTGTTTCATGATTGCTGAAAGAAGGAATAGTAAGTTTTTGAACAGTGCTGTTTGCTGAATGGTTATTTGCCTTTTATATAGTAACTTCTAATTTTTTTTAGAAACATACTACAACATTCTTTGTTGGTTTTTTTAAAATATACTAGTAAAAAAGTACAATTCTATGTGTGTCTAATTGATTAACCCTCCGCTTTATAGCAAATTAATCAACTATAATTTGCTTTAATTAGGTTACTCTTTCTTGTGATAGTGCTTACAGCTACAAATCATTATGGCAGTTTCAGGTCCAAATGAAATAGAATGATTTTTAAGTTAGAGCTTCATAAATAGTAGCACACCTCTTTTGCATTATTAGTTATTTTAATATTTATGATCCTTTTGTAACTTGTAACATATATTTTGCAGGTGCATTTCTCCTATTATTAACATAATGTCTGCATTATATCTGCAAAATAATAAAGCACCTTACTTTAAGCCTGTTACTCAGTGTTTTTAGTTAATTTTTCTGTCTAAATGGCTTTCATCCTTTAAAAAGCTGGCAGTGTTTCTGGACTAAAAATTCAGTTGCTTAAAAATTTGAATGAAAAGGGATTGATCCTGTATTAGGAGAAAAGCAGAGCAGTCTGCACAATGTGAAGACATAAAAGGTATTGTGTCTATAAAAATGTGTGAAAACAATAGTAGCTAATTTCACACCCCATGGGACAAGGGAGCACGAAATGTGCTTTAGCTTTAGATAACAGTTGTTTCCACTAGCCAAGCTGGTTTACAGAGCTTTTTCTTCATTTTTTCAGCCCACAAGAGGCTTGGTAGGCCAGGTGCCAGCAGAGGTGTTAGCGAAACCTACCGACTCCAAGCTTAATCTTTTCACCTACCTTTTCTCTTTCCTTAATGTGTTCATTATTTGCCGAGCATTTCCCGCCTCTTTGTCCTCAGGGTTTGTTTGGCATTTTTTTCTTTCTCTCTTTCTAATTCAGCTTGCTTTGTATGGGTGAGATATGGAACAGCACCAAAATCCGGCACCCTGGAAAGGAAAGGATTTCTACCCTATGACAAAAGAAAACCGTCTTGACTTCAGAGATTGACTAATCCCAGCTGTTCTGATAATATAATTAAGGCTGCCTAATGTCTTTAATTTTGCAACCAGTTTGTGTGAAAAGGAGAATTTGGCACTCTAAAGCCTTAAACAGTAAATGGCAATCTCAAGGAGCCTAATTAGAATTCTCTGACATTAAGCTAATTGGTGAAATTCTATTTCAGCAGCTTAACTTCTTTATTAATTTTTTTTCCTCAGGATTTTCCATGGAAATCAATTGATGAACTGTCACTTCTTTCCCTTATGCCCTCAACCACATTTGGATATAATTTTCTCCCAGTCCTCTTTTTGAAAGGCCTTGTGCTTGCAATGAAAATTTAATGATTATTATTGCTAGGATTCCATTCCATTCTGTGTTTAATCACTTACTCTTGATCTACAAAATAGGCTATCATGAATCTTTGCCCTGCTCTTAGGAATATATCTCTTTAGAATAAACAGAAGTCAAAAAAGTCACTCTAACTTTAGAATAGATTGGAACAGAAAAAAAAATACTGCTGATTAGTGGAAACCATTTTGAAGTCAGCAAAAATTTATAGAGGGTTATATATTCTGTATAGTGGATTATATATCTTCAGGTAAGACTTGAAAATAGTTCTGTCTGAAATCCTGGATAGTTACTGCCATTTAAGTGACTGAATTCACTATAAAACATGAAAAGGTTTGTTTTGCTAATATATTGTATGAAACCATTATGATTATAAATGACTCGGAAGTTATGAGAAACTCAATAACAGCTTGCAACAGTTGTTTTTTTTAAAAGTTATACTTTAGAGTGCAATTTATAAAATCTGGAATATGCACAGTTAATAGTAAAGCAGTTCAGTTACTGTGCATTCAAAGTAATCTAGATTTTGAACCAAAATAAGCTTTATCAGCCAGTGTTTTCTATAAACTATTAGGGATATAATGATGGAAGGATGATGAATATAATCAGTGTAAATGTTAATTTGGAAAGCAAAGTAGATGCTTGGCCTTTTGCCAAAAGGGGCAGAGTACTGCTAATACGTCTAAGAAAATGGAGACAGTTTTAAAACAGACTCATTCCCTGCAGGAATTAAATTATGCAATAGACTCCAGAATGTCTTAACAGGAGCCTGTTTAAATACTTAGCTTGTTTGGTACTTAACAATGTATTGTATACTGGGAACTTGCATTTTTGGCATTCACTAGCAACTGTTTTTTAGTCTTCCTGACAGTTAGAATTGTAAAAAAAACCCCACAAAGTTTGGAATGGAGCTGTTTTCTAGAGACAAGAGAAGAACCTGAGAGTCAAAGGCAGCATTTAATCTATGGCTACCTTGCTGTGAAAAATGTTAGATAGCTTTATATAAAAATACCCCCCTCCCCAAATGTATCAGTAGAAAAAAAAACATTGCATGTGAATGGGCAAACTAATGAGCAAAGTAAAAAAAAGTGACAATCAAATTAATAAAGTAAAATGAGTTGGAAGGAATTTATTAGATATGGAACAATTAAAACTCCATAGAATTGGAAGTAGCCTCTGTTTTCTCCTTTCATAAATATTGGATAAACAATATTATAGCAACATTGCTCTATTTCAGCATTTCCTGCGTTGTAAATTAATTACTTTAAATTTTGTTGCAGCTTCTGTCCCTTCTATTTGAAGACTTGTTTAAAAAATTCAACTCTGAATTGAAGAAAATTGCTGACCAAGTAATTCCCAAGCAAAGAGCTGCCCAGTTTGATGTAGTTAAGCACATGCGGCAAGATCAGATAACCAATGGTATGGTGAATGCCATCTCTACAGTAAGTGTTTCTTTTGGATGGATTGCTTTAAGATATCATGAGCCAACAGACGGGATTAAATGTAAATTATAGGTCGTCATATTGCAGAATGTTTCTTTTTCCAATTTTAATTCAAAATCTTCCTTGGATTTGTTTATAGAAGAATTGTTAGTAGCTTATATTTGTAAGCCATGTTAAAGTTCATCCATTTCTGATTTCTGTCATCTGGATAGTACAGTATATGAGGGGTCCTTGGTGCTCTGTGAGCTTGGTTGTTTTCTTGCAGACGTTTCATTATTCAAATTAGGCAACATCATCAGAACTGATGCTGTTACCTAGTTTGAGCAATGAAACGTCTGCAAGAAAACAACCAAGCTCAGAAAGCACCAAGGACCCATCATTTCAGCTCTGAGCTACAAATATTCTCTTTTATCAGTACAATATATTTCTGTCAGTTGATGGAGGTGTTTAAAGCATTGTCTCTATTTTGTTGGATGTCTTTCTTGAGAATGTGAGCAAAGTATATCACCAGATCCAATTAATTTCTTGACTTAAGTGTAAAGGATCTTTTACGTGTGTTGGTGTTTTAATTTGGATTCTTGTACTAAACAGGGAACTGGATTTAAGTGGTTTAAAAGACCCTTTCCAACCTTAAGATTCTGTGATTTATATTCTGGATTCTGTCCAGGAAATATATTATAATGCACCCTAGAAATAAATAATGTACTGGGCTGTTTGGACCATTCCAATTGTTTCCCAACAGAGAAATGCCTTGGTTATGTATCTCTTCACTTTAATATTTGTATCAAAATACCAAATAAAATTTGAAATGAACTTTAAACAATTGAGAAATTTGCCTGTGACAAACAATTGATCAAAATCTGCAGCAAAACCTTGGCATGTTGAAATTCAACACATCACCGAGAGCATGGTGGTTGTTGTTTATACAAAGAAGTGTCCTAGATTTTACTGTTATCAAACCTAGATGATAGATGAAAATCTGGACCTATTTTACCATCTTTTTCAAACTGATACTGTTTACAAATATAAAAGGTCGTTTTAAACGTTCACCAGTTTTACGTGGTTCTTTAACTTTAGGGAAATTGGTCACTGAAGAGATTCAAGATGGATCGACAGGGTGTGACTCAAGTATTGTCACGGTTGTCCTATATATCTGCTTTGGGGATGATGACAAGGATTTCTTCTCAGTTTGAAAAGACCAGGAAAGTGAGTGGGCCCCGATCTCTGCAGCCATCTCAGTGGGGAATGCTGTGCCCATCAGATACTCCTGAAGGAGAGGTAAGCTCCATTGGGTTAATACACTTTCCCTTGTCATATTATGTTATACTTTAGTTTATTATATGGATGTATTGCCTTTTCCCATTCTCATCCTTTTTTGCTGTCTTTTTCCTCCAAAATGAAGAACCTCCATGCATTAACTTCCTGTACTGCTTTCATGCTGTTAAACAAGTCCTCCTAGAATATCCATGATTCAGAAAACTTTTTTCATAGCTATTTTCACGCTCTTAACTTTTCCTCAATTTTTAGTGATGATTTTATGTTCTTGAATTCTTTTGTCTGGCTATCCTCTTTAAAAGACAACTTTGAATTATTGCAAACAAATTGCTAATAAATACAATCTCTTCATAGCAATTTAACAATTATTGTTTAGCGCAAAATGATCTAACTAGCCCTGTGAAATGAGCACCTGCAGAGCAAATTCTTTCACCTTGCTTTACTAGTACACGTGGGTTCAATCTGAGAAAAGTACATGCACACATATAGAGTGTGTTTTTACTTAGACATACAGGTGAGCTCATATAAGCAAAAAAAGGAGTTGTAATTTTAACCCCAAGTAAGGTTATAAATCTATAAATCTAACCTAAATCTCTGAGCTACATCACTTATGTTTCCTAGGATTAAATTATGAATGCCATTATGTATGTATATACCGTGTGTGTGTGTGTGTGTGTGTGTGTGTGTGTGTGTAATCGCCCCCAGGTAATAGTGCAAACATAAATATTGACATTATATACTGCACAAAATTACATACCAGTATATCTGATACATAACAGATTTGATGACCACCTAAGCAGAATGTTTGTTAAATTTTTCTCTTAGTATTTAAGTTATATAAATCAGTTTTTATATACTTGTTTTCCTTTTTAATTTTTTAATTGACTTCTTTTTTCTTCAGGCCTGTGGCTTGGTTAAAAACCTAGCACTGATGACTCATATTACTACTGACATGGAAGATGGCCCTATTATTAAGTTAGCTAGTAACCTTGGAGTAGAAGATGTAAACCTTCTGTGTGGAGAGGAACTTTCATATCCAAACGTGTTTCTTGTTTTCCTTAATGGTATGTTACTGCTTTTAATCCAAGTGAAACAGGATACTAGAAGATTAAACATTAGTATATATGATGTGTCTTTCTCTAATAATTAAGGCTTGATCAGGTAATTTTTCAGAAAATGATATTTTTAATGTGTGATTGTGTATTCCCAAATTTTGTCATTTCAGTTAGAATTCCAGTAATTTTTTCATAGCACTGCTAAGCCAAAACTGAACTATTTCAAGATGGTAGTTCTTGTGGTGTCTGACCAATGTTGAATATCATTGTTTCCCTTTGAAAATGTAAAATATCCCATGGTGCCTTTGTGAGTACACTGTGCATTGTACAAAGTTTGGGAACTGCAGAGCGCGTATATGCCAAGTAAAATGCTTCCTGCATTCCTTGTTTTGATGGTTCATCCCATGGCATAAATGCAACATTTAAAGTTACATATAAATGTTGATTGGGGAAGCCAACTTTTATAAATCTATAATATATTTTATTATAGAGATATGATTTTCATACAATGGGCATGATTCTAAACCTTTTGTGTTAGTTATGACATGAGGCAAAGCTTTAGAAAACCCACTTCCACGTTTAAAACGTACCTAAATGCAGTTTTGGCAAGAAATGGCCAACACTGTTGACAAATCAGGAGCTAGATGTGAGATATAAAATCTGTCCCTGCACAATTATTGTGCACTGATCCCAAGACTGCTGCGAGGTGTCCTCAGCACACTGTTTCTCATGCAAAATGTTCCCAGGTAATATGCAATAAATGCTTAAAGTGCATTTAAAACAGTGTGAAATTATTTTAACAAAAATACATACATGATTGGGGATGTTGAGAGTTACTGTTGTTCACATCTGGAAAATACCATTTGGGGAAAAATGGTGTAGAAATGGTAGAAGAAAGGTAAAATAAAGCCTTTTCTCTCTATCTGCTATAACTATAAAAGTTCCAACCCGGCAAGTCTTTTCAGAAAACGTAATTTTTAACTTTTAAGAGAGACCATATCGAAGTTCTTAGAAATACTGTAATAGTACAACAAAAGGATAATAAAATTGCTTTTGTTGGAATATGAAAATTGTTCTCCATTTTAGGTTAGCATCCCTTTATTTCAGTGCTTTAAATGTTGCTACCATTTCATTTCTAGGGATGACTGATACTAATCCAAATTATAGCAGAAATCTAGTTAAATTACCTACTATAATTTCTTTAAAAATGCATTGGCTTTGCTATTAATTGTTGCATGTTTATGTCCCAGGAAAGAACAGAAATTGATCAAACATTTTATAACTATGCTGATAACAACTTGGATTGTTATTCATCAGAAAGCCAACATTTGCCCAATCTATCCATTGAAAGGATGGTAACATTTACAGAATTATTTAATTGTTTGCTTGAACAGGTAACATCCTTGGTGTCATTCGAGATCATCAGAAACTGGTCTACACATTCCGGCTGATGCGTAGAGCAGGCTATATAAATGAATTTGTTTCAATCTCCACAAATCTTGCAGACAGATGTGTCTATATTTCTAGTGATGGTGGAAGGCTATGTAGGTAAGAATTTTGAATATGCTTTTCCTGGGCCATGGCACCAGAATATTCTATTCCAAGTATATTATCAAGTTGTTCAGTTCATTCACAAAAATCCGTTTTAGACACATGTGTACTCCACAACTTGATTGGCAAGCAGTTTGCATTTTACCATCAATCCAGTCATATAAATTGGAACTCAAGAAATGCACATATCAGCAACTAAAAAGTATTCATCATTGGAAATTGCGTTGTTTGATTAGTGTTACTTAATTTTTCAATTTTGCTGTGGCTTTCTTCTTTTGCCTATTAATAGCTCAGATCCATTTCACCCTTGAAATCAGAAATTAGCTCTTAAACTGGTTGTTTGAACTGGAATATTGTAATTATTCGCTTCACACTGGAAATTATGTGCAAGTAGCAACAATCCTTAATGTCCAACAGAGCATGCCATTCTTGTAACTTTGCTTATATCAGGGGTAGTCAACCTTGGCTCTTTTATGACTCGTGGACTTCAACTCCCAGAATTCCTGAGCCAGCTGGCCCAGAATTCCTGAGCCAGAATTCTGGGAGTTGAAGTCCACGAGTCATAAAAGAGCCAAGGTTAACTACCCCTGGCTTATATAATGTTTATAGCAAAAACCTATGAAAGCTTAGGTTGCCGACTGAAAGCATGCATTTAATTTTTTCCCCCATCAGGAGTGATGTAGGGTCCCATCAATCATCTTGACAGAATAATGCAATAATTTAGTGAAATATTACTTGTCATTTTTTCCAAAGCTATCTTTTTTAGCTTTGAAAACTGCAGAATTTGTTTTGGTTCTCTGGAATGATAGATGTAATATTGTTACCTTGTAAGCAGTTGGTATGAATTAACTGAACATACCAATCAATTAGCAAAATCAAATCAAGTTGTAATATCAAATTAAAAATTGCCCCTGTTTAAAAAAAAGTCCAAACACTTGGACCTGAATTCATGAGGGGCTTATCAGTAGATCAGGTAAATCATAAATGAGAGTTCAGTTCTGGGTTTTCTGGAGCCAATTTTGAATGGGTGGTTTTTTCTTTCATGTTTGTTTGGAATCAGCATATAATACAGAGTGTCTTACACAAAGACAAACCATTAGCTTTGCTAAGACAGGATTTATTAATACTTAAAAATGTGTCTGTGCAAGTTTAAAGCAGGATCTTTTGGAGTGTTATATGGAACTGGTGGGGATACAAAATGATCGATATCCATGTACTCTGTTCTGAACTATGTCCCATAAAGTGCTCTAAATTATATTACCCTTTTAAAAAGAAACACTACTCTTTCCTTCAAGAGACATTCACTCACATTTTATTTATATTTTTAAAGTTTATAAAGTTAGATAATTTATTAAATATTAAATATAGAAATAAATGATAATAAATGAATTATAGCTATTAATATAGCCCTCTTTAAAATATATATATATTCTACTTCATGTTAAAAATTGTTGCAGTCATTGATAAAGAAGGCTAAATGGAGACCTGTAATGCATTCCCTACAGCTGTTATGCTAGCCATATATATTAGAAAATGAACGCAGAGCACTGTCAGAATGGTAAATATAGTCCACCTGCTTTAAATTGTCAGCAGAGCAGAGTGATACAGATGTTACATTATGTCATGCCCTTGTGACTTACACACACACCAGAGGGTGAGAAAGGACATGCTTGTTCTCCAAGCTTGTTGTTTAGTTTCTGAATGTTTCATCAACAGGGTAGGTAACAACAGAGAACTGAAACAAGACATTTCAACCAATGTTCCACTGATGATGTTACCTAGTCTGGTGATGAAACGTTCAGAAACTAAACAACAAGCTCGGAGAACAAACCACCACCATCTACCAGCCAAGCTACAAATATTTTTCACCATTTCTAGTTTTCTCCTATATTATGTTTTTAGTTATGCTTATCACCAGGTGCCTCCTGGTGATCGCTAAAACTGAAAATAAACGCCAATAACTCAGTTCCAGGTACAATCTTCTAAGTTCCTGTCTTTAAAACTTTATAGCCTAATATGAACCACCATATGGATAAATACAATTCCTGCCTGAGATTTCCTGTTTTATCTTGGGAATATATTTGAAAGTGCAATGGAAACAACAGAGCTATTCCCATCCTACAATGAAAGCTGTGTTGTATATGCCAGTTGGAAGCCCTTTATTCCTTCAGTATGTCATTTTCCTGTATATCATAAGTCTTTCTTTTCTTTTCTTTTCTGATCTTATAATTTGCACATTGTATTTACAAGAGTAGTCTATCTTTTTTAAATGGCATAGTGTATACAGTCAGCTAAGACTGAGTATATGAGCTCTAAGTCTTTAGGATCCATTCTGCTTCAGTCCACTCTAATTGTAATTCCCTATTATGTTGCTCATGCTGATAACTTCTGCTGTTAACAAGATCTTCATTTCATCTCTGAAATGACGTGATAATACAATACATAATGTGTTAACTCTCTTTCTTACGATCTAGACCCTATATTATTGTGAAGAAACAAAAACCTGCTGTAACAGAAAAACATATGGAAGAACTTGCGCAAGGTTATAGGTAAAACAACTCAATAAATTATCCTGGCTTCTTTTCCAGGATCCATCTGTTCATAAAAATAAGAATAAACAGCATTTTCTATGTTTGCAGTACAGTATTTAAACGTGGATATTTCTATACTCTTCAACAACAAGCTACCATTCAGTGTCTGGGCCTCCAAATTGAAACATGAAATGATATTAGTTGGAGCCACTAAATTTTCCTCCCCACCAAATTATTTTTATATATCATTAATTAAAAATAAATAAATGGGAAGCAGGGTTGATGTAAAAGTTTGTAATGTATTCAGCTGCATTGGATCTCTGCACAGAGCTAATGATCTGAAGATGAGAAAACAAAGAGGTGCCTGACTACTTTGTCCCACCCCTGAGAACATGCTTTGTGTTTGCCTTAGTTTGGGGGTGGCTGGGGTGGCAAGTCCCCCCATAAGCTAACAGCACTTCATGTTAGCCAATATATAGACTGAGCCAGTGGGGTTTTCAGTCAGGCCATATATGTACTGGTTAATGCAGCTCCATGTTAGCCAACAGGTAGGTTAGACTAAAGGGATTTTCAGGAGGGGTTGGTCCACACATTGGCTAATCAAGCTCTTTGTTAGCAAAAATGTTGGTCTGATTGACAGGATTTTTGTGTAGGCTATTCTGCTCATTAGCTAGTGCAGCTGTGTGTGCTAGCTAATAGGTTGATGGTGCCAAAAATTTCATTCTTTGAAACAAAAAAAATATAGTGGTTAGTGACACAGTTGTGTTCTGAGATCATTTTTTTCAACACAGAGGGACTATTTCCTATAATGAACACTTTCTCTTTCTTCTCCTGCATCTCCTTGCTGTAAGAAATAGCATGGTGGGTAGTTGCAGTCCAATACGTTGTTTGCCATTCAGTATATGGGTACCTATGATCACCATACTCAGTACTCAATTACCGTGTTTCCCCGAAAATAAGACCCATCCTGAAAATAATCCTGGGGGGTGGCCAGCACAAGCAGCGGCAAGTGCGCGAGGACCAATGGTGTCCTGCAGCAGCCGCAACCCACCAGTCCCTTGGTGCAGAGCATGTAAGTCCATGCACAGAGGCGCCCAAACACTTTCCCCCTGAACAGAGTTCTGACGGAGACTGGAAGCTTTGTCTGCTTGCAAATGGGTCGCTTTGAAACAGAGCAATTAGCTCCAAGTGCCCCATTCATAAGCAGACGAAGCTTCTGATCTCCATCAGATCCCTATTCAGGGGGAAAGTTTGGGTGCCTATGGGGTGCTTGGGGTAGCGCTACCCCCTCCCCCACTTGCCTCGCCTCATGGTGTTGGCATGACACGGCAGGCCACAAGTGGCCGCAGAAGTGGGCCAACAGCAGCCTCCTGCTGGACAGGGCTGTTGGTGCCATCACCGCGAGGTGAGGCAGTTGTCTGGAGAAAAGTGAGACATCCCCCGAAAATAAGACCTACTGCCTCTTAATTTCGGAAACACAGTGTGGTGAGAGGGCCCATTTCAAATGCACAAAAGTTAAAGAAGGAAGCACCTGGCTGAATGAGTAAGGTACATACCTTTTGGAAACCAAATCTGGTTCAGTCCTTAGCATCTTCAGGTCAGTCAGTAATCTCCCTGAACCTCTGGAGAGCTGCTGCTACTCAGAGTCTTTAGTTAAATGGGTCAGTTACTCTGGACTCTTAAGGTAGAAATCTGTGTAAGGAAATTCATTTATATAAAAATCCTGCTTTCACTTTGCTTTCCTATTAGTGTCTGTTGTTTATCTTTTATGCATATTTGATGTGGAAATATGTGAGAATATACATTGTTTTGAAATATAAATATTTTATATTCAGGAATTTTGAAGACTTTTTACATGAAAGCCTTGTTGAATATTTGGATGTGAATGAGGAAAATGATTGCAACATTGCACTCTATGAACATACAATCAATAAGTAAGTATTCTGGCATCATTAGAACCTAATTTTTGTATTGTAACATTGGAATTGGGGCAATGTTGGGAATATACTCTAAGAATGAAAAAAGATGAATTTTTGCATGCACACATATATATGTGATATAAAAAATGTCTTTTCAATTATTAAAATTGTCTTCAAGAACATTTGTGTTATTCAGTAACAGAATTAAAATAGTGAAATCCAAAATCAGATTTCCTCATTTGATACTACAATTAACAAACTCATTGTTTGTTTGGATCTAATTAATCTCCAAAGATCTTTCAGAACAGTTGGGTTTTCACCTACTTCCAAAAGCCATGAGAGTGGGGGCCATTCTTACTTCACCGGTCCAGCTTTTCAGTATGTAACCATGTGGTTTTAACTTTAAGAAATCTAGCTATATATTTTTTTCCTTTATTAGAGAAACAACACACTTGGAGATTGAACCTTTTACTCTTCTTGGAGTCTGTGCTGGTCTTATTCCATATCCCCACCATAACCAGTCTCCAAGAAACACTTACCAGTGCGCTATGGGAAAGCAAGCTATGGGTAAGATTTCTGTGTCTTCAGATCAGAATAGTTGTTTCATTCACCCTGGATTCAATTTCCCTCACCTTTTTAAATATTTCTGATAACCTGCCTTGAAAACATTTGCCTTCTCTCTATACCCCCAATTTTGGCACAATTTTCTATATGCTTTCCTATTTAAAAACAAAAAACCAAATTAGAAACATACTCAGAGGCTAAGATAAAAAATTGATGAGCGATATTTTATGACACTTGGTTTTTATTTATCAGCATTAAATTATCAAGATTATTTTTAGGGTAATGTAGTTATAACTCCCTTTTCAGAAAACAGGAAATCTCCAATTCATCAACTATTATTTCTTAACAGAGATTATTAAGATTATTATGGCTGGATTCCAGAATTCATAAATAAGAAATAAATTTGCATCAACAGCTCTGTTGTACTCCCTACAAATATATATATATATATATACTATAGTTTGTTTAGTGGTTTATCCTTTTCCTAATATGTACTTATTAATCTAGATTAATAGATTGACTCATAATTAGCATAATAAGGAAAACTGTGTGTGTATTATGTGTAAAATGTATAAATGAACACACAAATAACTAGTCATATATTTTGATGATTTTGATTGTTTTGCTTGATTTTGTTTCACTTCAGCAATGATTTCCCTGCTCTTTGCTACTTACAGTATAAATAAGAATAGAGAGGATCACTTGTACAAATATCTATACAGCTGGACCCTATAGCCCACATACATTGCAACTAATATGTAGTCTCTGTATGGATATACACTTGTTAATTTACATTAAGACAGTGTAAAGCATTTGAATAGGTGCTTTGTAAACTATGAGATGTGTTTGAATATTAGCTCAGGTTGGTAGTTGGGCTGTTGGTTTGAGCTGTTGGTTTGTAAACTATTTTGCCAAAAACAAAGCATCTCCCTTTGAAGTTTTGAAGACCCCCCCCCACCTCCCGGAATGATCATGCAGGGCATCGAAGTCTTTTCCCATGAGTCTTTTGTCTTTACGCACATGTGGGCACATAACTGCTTCACATTGGCAGCAGAAACATTGGGCATGGGACTGCACAGGGCTTTTGGGGAATGTAGCAGTCTCAGAATTGGATGACGAGTGCTTTACTTGTTTGAGTTTGTGTGGCTCAAATGTTTTGCACAGCATTTATTTATACATCACACATTTGTGTAACACGTGTATTTCCAGTTCTCTACCAAGGCAAGCAAATTGTCACATAACAATCAATTATTTGCAAATTACATGTTGCTGTGTAGCTTTAACCTGGCTTGTTTTCCATCTCCCTAAATAAGTGTCCCTTTATGAAGACATTTCACTGATCCTTAAATAACACTTGCAGGATTTTTCTCTGCAGCAATTGCAACTGATGGCAGAGAACCATTTCAATGAGGCTAAGTTGGCATTACTATTTGCTTAAGATGTTAACTGTGAAATTTAGTTAGGGTATCATTCCTGGTGGTCACATAAATTCAATGAGTATATTATATAGCCAAATCATGCTGCTTCTCAGTTGATGGGGGGGAGGGGGAATAAAAATATCTTACGTAATCTTTTTTACATAGGCAAAACCCCAATGTAATAAATTTTCGTTCCCTTCAGCACATTAGAAACATTTTTTAAAATATTTTACACACCGTCCCTTTCTTTTAATTGCATCCTGTTTCTTTGTTATGCTTTCTTTTTCCAGGAGAATCTATTTTAGGACTATTAGCCTCAGAAGGTTTGGTTAGTTACCACACACAGTTAAGCAGGATCAGTGTGTACAGAAAGCCAATTCAGTATCTGTAGAGTTCTTTTGTACTTTTCTGTGTGAAGGTCTTTTTTTCTCATTTTGTTTTCAGTGTCATTTGCAATTCATTGTCTGTGTTTTCTGAGGTTGGTGTATTCAGCTGCTTTGACCCAGGGTCTTGCACATTTAGCTCCTTGGATACAATCCTCTGACGTTGCTGCTGACGATGGGAATACAAAAGCTGCTGAATATCTTTAGTAATTATTGTTAAAGGCTTTGTTTCTGTGTGCTACTGCAAGCACCTGAGGAATGAGCAAGGAGATAAAAGTACAGTTCTAAAGCTGAGATGCAATCGACTATTTTTTTTAAAAAAAACATACAAACATTAAACATCTAGTTGTGTGCTGAATATTTGCTAATAGTGGCTGGGCTATTTTTCCCTTCTGAACATCTTCCCTTCTGTGTCCTGTAGATGTGTGGGACTGCAATTCCTATAATCACCATCTGGCTATGGTAAAAGAAGTTATAATCCAAGACACCAAATTAGAAAAAATACAGACATAGACATAGTGCCTGTAAGAAGCTGAATTGGTATAATCCTAGATTTGCTACAAATTAACTTCAGGCACATCTGCACAGTTTCCATTTGGTCTGTAACTTATGAGTTGGCTATTTTGAATCTGTCTGGACAGTGATTCATCACATCAAAATACGTTTGTTCTTTAAAAGTGTCAGCCCTCCCTTATGGTTGTCTCTGCCTGTCCCTTCCCACCCGCTGCCACTAACAGTCTTTGTATTGTCCTCTGGGAGATACATGTTCAAGTCCATTTAGTCACTTCCTGGGCTGTCAAGAATTTGGGATTATTGAGATAGTCTTTTGGCTCCCTGCCGAGAAGAAAGGACTTGTTACTCAGCATTGCCCCATTCTGATTATTTGAATACTTCCATTGCCTGAGAAATGCCTTCCTTGAGGCTTAGCAAAAATTAGGCAGATCGGTGGATCTTAAATAACGCAGAGAGTACCAGCTGAACTGAACTTCTGGTGATATATGTTGGAAGGTATACAGTGGGTATAAATAGAACTAAAACCATATATGTAGATGGTATTTTGAGAAGCTGGAAGATCACTTAAATATTTTTTATTAGATCCCATTTTTCTTTCAACAAGTCTATGGGTAAGCTTATCTGAGTAATCAGTTAGTACTAATGAGGCTGAGATATTACTAGCCATATTCCAGATACACAGGAATTATTTGCCTGTTTAGTACTTCTTGTTTATCAATTTATGGAGCCTGAAGAATTACTTTCTGCTCAAGGCTATAAGAAGGAATCTCAATCTTGTGGTCATTATATTTTGTATATTGACTGGTACATTGAAACAATGGTTGTATTTATAACTAGATTATTTCAGATCTACTCCTCAAAAGTATCTAGTAAAAAAACCTATGATGGCAGCTGCAATCTAACTGTAGAATAATTCAAAGACTAATTGATTTTTGAAATAAAACTTGTAGAGGCTTAAAACTGCTTGAGGCCTAAGAGACACAGCCACACTGACAACTTTCAGCTATATTTTGTATTTCATGTAAAAGTGGGTGGGAAAGGTTGGGTATTGCACATTTTCACTTAATTAGCTATCAGCTAAAATGAGCACTAAGTAAATAGATGGCATAAAATACTTGCTGCTTTTTCTGTTGATTTCTCCACATGTTGTAATGTTGTAAATAGCATTAGAACAATAGAATCAAGCATCCACCAAGTTTGCTTAAGAAGATTTTTTTTTAATTGCAGGTACCATTGGCTACAATCAGAGGAACAGGATTGATACCCTTATGTATCTATTAGCATATCCACAAAGACCAATGGTTAAGACAAAAACAATAGAACTGATCGAGTTTGAAAAACTGCCGGCTGGACAGAATGCCACTGTTGCTGTGATGAGTTACAGTGGTTATGACATTGAGGATGCTCTGGTTTTAAACAAGGCTTCTTTAGACAGAGGTAGGCAGTCTCTACTTAATAGGATAGTTATGTTTCTTGCTTCAGCTTAATACAAATAGTTTACATCTATGAATAAAGAAAAAGAATCACAATTTTGATGTTTAAATTGGCAAACCATGATTTATTTTTAGATGTTTTTGTATACTACAGTATGTAAAAACTATGATTTGGTGTGATATCTAAATTGAAAAATTACACTTGTGATATTTAAAATTATAGATCACATTTGCTGACATACCGCATCACAAAAAAGAACACTGAGCTGATGGAAAAGCAGGTAGCTCAAAATCTTCAAGCCTTCGTACTTTTGTGGGCTCACTTTATGAAAGAATTTGAAAATCTTTTTTTAACATAATAATGAATTATAATTACATCTCGACTGAATTCTTGTACAACAACTTTTCAAGGATTAGAGTGAATGAGAAATTATTGCTGAAAATGCATCTTAAGGGGAGCTCCAAATTTATTATTGTGACTGAAATAAACTAATCATCTGACTTTTAAACATTTACATTTGGCTTAATTGTGCCTTACAAAATACTGCTTTTTCATTAATAATGACAACCAGTAACATTTGAACTCTAGACATGTTAGTAGAGATGAATACGGGTAGTTCTCGACTTACAACCACAATTGAGCCCAAAATTTCTGTTGCTAAATGAGTTTTGCCCCATTTTTACGATCTTTCTTGCCACAGTTAAGTGTATCATTGCAGTTATTAAGTTAGAAGTGAATCTGGCTTCCCCATTATTATTATTATTATTATTATTTATTAAATTTATATACCGCCCTATCTCCCTTGCGGGACTCAGGGCGGTGAACAGGCGATACTAAAAACCACGAATAAATAAATAATTTCTGTTTTAAAATCGAATTGACTGCTTGTTAGAAGGTCACAAAAGGTGATCACATGACCCCAGGACCCTGCAACCATCACAAATATGAGTCAGTTGCCAAGCATCTGGATTTTGATCATGTGACCATGAGGATGCCACAACAGTCATAAGTGTGAAAAATGGTCATAAGTCAACTTTTTTCAGTGCCATTGTAACTTTGAACGGTCACTAAATGAACTGTTCTAAGTTGAAGACTACCTGTGTTACTTGAATACCATCGGGAATTATTATGATACGTGGAAAAAAAATAATACCAAACAAAAGTTGGACCCCCCAAAAAATGTATTAGTGTTAAATTGCCTAGCAAATAAATGTGGTTAATAATAAATTTGCTTCCTGTTTTTAAGAAAGCAAAAACTCTTCGTGTTTATCATTAGGCTGCAACGCCACTCATGCACCTTCTCCAAAAGGCATATTAAATCTTTTTCAGGAAAAGCATATTCAGTGTTTTTCAAAGAGTATTCCTTGCCTTCACTTCAAATAAACTTGTCTGGATGTTACGCTTTTTAGTGTTGCCTCATCAATCATATTTAAAACACAGTTCCTCTGCTTGAGGCCTAATATCATGGGTGCCTGAGTTTACTTTGTGTGATCAGACTGCTTGCGTACTGCAGTACATTCTACTACACTCGCCCATCCTTAAGAGCCCTTTTGCCAGTTGCCAGGCAGCACTAGTAGTATTGCTGGACATGTATCTTTGGCATTAATGTCTGCACACTTAATTTATTCTTTTTTGCCTAAAACAATAGCAGACATGATTTAAAGCAAAATGTTTTCTTTCTGGTAGACTAGTAACATTAGGGGGGAAATCAAATACTCTCCAGAATTACGTCGTTACAGCCAAATGATACAGATATACTATGCATAACTTCAACTGAAAAGCACTTTTAAAAAGTAAAGTTTATGAAGAAGCATTCTTCCAAATTTAGGAATTATTAAGCCAATGAGGGCCAATGGAAGAAATGCAGTATTTTTATATGTTTTTGGAATCTTGTAGCCCAAAATTATTAAGGGTAATTAATGTTTTGGTTTAATATTTTTACAAAATAGTTTAGATCACTGTTTAGTTAAATTATGGTCTTTTAAAACAAATCTGGGAATTAGATATCAGCTACATTTTATTGTTCTTTAAACCTGTTAAATTACATAAGTAGTTGTTCTAAAAGGTAGGTGTTTTATTCTAAAAATGCAGTGTTTTTTCAGAAATATAAACGTAATTTAATTCTCCAATTATAACAAATTCTTGTTTTTTTAGCTCTCTTGAAATGTGGCTGTAATGACGTTTTGACCCCTTTAAAATTACAATTCTAATGAAAGATTATAAATGTCTTATGACACTTTAAAGTTGCTATTATGACATAATATTTCATTGTCATAAGCCACTGCATTTCTAACAGAATGCATTTTGGTTCATGCCCTATTAAAATTATTATGAAATCATTATAATTTAATATCTTGAAAAGGGTCCATTGGACTGCAGCACCAGTCTCTAAATTGCCCTCAGATTCGGCATATTAAGTGCCTTGTTTCATAAATAACTATCCAAGCAACTGTTTTCTCTACTATGGATTTGTACAGTATATTTAAAACATAATCATGAATGTCTGATTATCATTTTAGATACCCCTTATAGTAGTTTTGATTGATATGTTTATTTTCTTTGAGGCTTTGGAAGGTGCCTTGTGTACAAAAATGCTAAGTGTACTCTGAAGCGTTACACAAACCAAACATTTGACAAAGTAATGGGGCCCATGCTGGATGCAGGAACACGCAAACCAATTTGGCGGCATGAAATTTTAGATGCTGATGGTATTTGCTCTCCAGGTATACAAACATTGTTTTCTTTTCTTATAAGAATTATTAGTTTGAACTATTATTTTTGTTCATGTGCTGTTGTCAAACTGAACTCCAAATAGGGAGAACTAGTGACCTGATTCAATAGAAGGCTTTTGTTGTTGTTGTTGTTTAATTATGAACATGCATGGAATATACTGGATGGTTTAGCAACCTCTCAAAAACCAGACCCTCATTTTTCAGTGTTTTGCTGCCGAAGTTTGGTGATATGATCTTGGTTTACCCCAAGGAGCATAAATAAGGCGATAGCACAGCCTTCGCTTTTACCATTTAAAGACAATGAAAATAATTCATACAGGTAGCAAATATGTTATTTCCTCATATACTTACAGGTGAAAAAGTAGAAAACAAGCAAGTACTTGTGAATAAGTCAATGCCCACGGTGACCCAAACCCCTTTGGAAGGGAGCAGCGCATCTCAGCAATCTCAGTATAAAGATGTGCCAGTAATGTATGACATGCTACCTTATTTTATTTTTAAAAAGCAACAGAAAAGAAGGAGGTGGTAGAAAAGGCTTAGTTCTGAAAAAGAAAATAGAAATTGGCCATGTCGGGCATAGTGGTAACTAAAAGGGTTCAAGTGTCTAGTTTTCTTGGTAATGTCACAAGCTGTGGTAGTGCAGCGGTTAGAATGGAGTTTTGCCGTCTGCCAGCAGTTTGATCCTCACTTGTTCAAGGTTGACTCAGCCTTCCTTCCTTCCAAAGTTGATAAAATGAGGATCCAGATTTTTGGGGACAATATGCTGATTCTGTAAACCGCTTAGAGAGGGCTGTAAAGCACTATGAAACAGTATATAAGTATAAGTGAGATTGCTATTGCTATATATATTATAAACAAACTGGATTTCAATTTGTTTCAGTCTTTTGTATTATCCAAATTCCTAATGGATTCTGTTTGTTCATTTTTAAACTAGATGGGTGAAGATACTTTTCTTCATCTACCATTCCTATTGTTACTGAGTTCCTATAACTTTTTTGCAGTTGCTTTCAGTATTGAAACTTTGCATGAAGAAGTAAATTAAAATTTGTAAACTGTTGCTTTGCAGATATCTAGTATTAATTAAACTCAGCTGGGTTTTTTCTTGAATTAAACTATGTACATTTTCTGTTCATCAGTTACAAAGGTGCAACTGATTCGTACATTGAAAAGGTCATGATATCTTCCAATGCAGAAGATGCTTTTTTAATCAAAATATTGCTAAGGCAAACCAGGCGCCCAGAAATTGGAGACAAGTTTAGCAGTCGTCATGGACAAAAAGGTACATTTTACTACATTTTAATGGTTTTGATATAATCAAAATATATTTCCAGTTGTTCTTGGTATAACAGCAGAGCAGAGTAAGTAAAATAATATAATTGTTATTAGTGCCTGGATTGGATTTAACTAGAATTTTAATCTTCTGCCTCTGGAAAGAGGCATAAATGCTGTTCTGTTGCATAATAATAATAATAATAATAATAATAATAATAATAATAATAATAATAATAATAATAATAATAATAGTAGTAGTAGTAGTAGTAGTAGTAGTAGTACTAGTACTAGTAGTAGTAGTAGTAGTAGTAGTTGAAAGACACCTTGGAGGTCATCTAGCCCAACCCCCTGCTAAGGCAGGAAACTCTATACCAGTGATGGCAAACCTTTTAGAGACCGAGTGCCCAAAAACCACCCCGCCCCACCCTGCCCATCCCCTTGTGCCCCGCTTGCCCGCAGGACCACCCACTGCCTCCATGGCCCGCCGCAGATCGCCCAGGTGACCCTCCACCCGCACCCTGCAGCAGCATCTGCGCATGACAGCGCGAAGACGAGTCTTGTTCCCACTACCCGGCTGCCATGTCCTTGGCAGTGCTGCTCTGCGTGGGCAGCGCCCAGGGGCAACTCTCCTCTGGGGGGACAGCTGGTGAAGAGGTGGGGGAGGCAGGGCTGGGGCAACGGCATGCGTGCCCACAGAGAGGGCTCTGAGTGCCGCCTCTGGCACGTGTGCCATAGGTTTGCCACCACTGCTCTATACCATTTCAGACAAATGGCTGTCCAGTCTCTTCTTAAAAACTCCAGCTTCTGGAGGCAGATTGTTTAAAACTGAATGGCTATTACTGTCATGGAAAAAAATTGCAATACAATGAAAGTTGCTATATTTTGAAATTCATGGGTAATACTGTGAATAAATTAACATGTAGTCATTAAAAATACTTGTGTCTTTTTCTTCTATTTGGTAATACATGATGGAGGCATGAGCAACTACTAACATACTGTAACTCTAATAGTTAATTAGATGTATTTGAAAAAAATGTGAAAAATGATCAAATTTTGAACAAGCAACTAAATTTCATTTTTAATGTGTGCCATTGTGCTCACAGTAAAAAATTACAATGAAGGCTATCTATCTATCTATCTATCTATCTATCTATCTATCTATCTATCTATCTATCTATCTATCTAATCTATCTAATCTATCTATCTATCTATCTATCTAATCTATCTATCTATCTATCTATCATCTATCTATCTATCTATCTATCTATCTATCTATCTATCTATCTATCTATCTATCTATCTATCTATCTATCTATTCCTGTTCTTTGCAAGTAGGAAAATTCTAAAGTAGAAATAACTCACTATCCATACACATCTAGCCAGAACTATACTATTAAGTTTTTATGGTTGATGCATATTCAATTGAGATGGATACAGTGTTGCTCGGTGACTTTAACCAGATAGTCATACTTGTCCCCAAATATTTTGGGCAATAGTTTCCACAATATAATTCTGCTATTATCAACTCATAACAGTTGACTGCACCATATTGTTAACCCTTCCTTAAAGAGTTATTGGAGTGAGAAAAAATTAACTCCATTAACTCAGTTTAACTTAATACTTCCCTATACTTCAATACATTGCTCCATTGAAAGGTAATCAGCAAGTGTTATGAACTGTCTGCTCAGTAACTTCATTTAGGATCAGTCATCATCTCTCAGTCTAGCTTAATGCAATAAAATAATAATAATAAAATCAGAATAGGGGCATAGATAGTGGGAGATAGCAGATGGAGAAATTTGACATGCTCCTGTGATCGTAAGTGTTGGCAGGCTGCCAAGTGCATGAATTTTGATCATGTGACCACGGGGTGTGATGCAATAACCATAATTTCAGGCACAAGTTGTAAGTCTATTTTTTTCAGCACCATCCTAATTTCAACTGGTCAGAAATAAATTGTCATAAATGAAGGACTTCCTATAAAGACCACTACTGAACAAGGATTGGATTTTTAAAAATTTTCCCGTTGCTTTTAGATATCAGGCAGATAGGTGCGAATAGTTGAAGGCAGATTGAGCAGTGGTCCTCAAAGTGCCTTATGAACTTCCGTTTGTGCATAAACATGTTCATGTACAATGAAACGTGCAGCCAGAAGTGGAGAAGTCTTCAGTGCTTTTCATAAAGGGATCTGGGGTTTGAAATGGTTTCCAGGTACTTTCAGGGTCCTCAGTGTGCACATATTATGTTCAGTGCAATTGAAATTGTATACTTGGATACAGTGGTGGGATTCAAATATGTGAACAACCGGTTCTCTGTGTGGATGCCACTTCCGGAAGTCCATTCTGGGCCTGGGCAACAAAAAATTAGCTACTGGTTCTGCCAAACTGGTGCAAACTGGCTGAATCCCACCATTGCTTGGATATCTTAATCATAGAACCATGGAAATAGCATTAATAAGATATATCACTAGGTTTATGACTCATAGCTCTTGAGCAATACATTTCCACAGCTTATCCCAGTCATGGCGAACCTTTTAGAGACCAAGTGCCCAAACTGCAACCCAAAACTCATTTATTGCCGGGTGCCAGGTGGGCATGGCCCACTGGGTGGGCATGGCTGTGGTGATCATGGCAGAATGGGTGGCTGTGGCCAAGGTGGGCATGGTCACCTCGATCCAGGGGGTCTCTGGTGGGTGGGACAGTGGGCAGGAGGCTCGTCCTGCGTGGTGAGAGGAGGTGAGGCAGGGCGGGGGTGCCATTGTCGCAGGCCAAGGCAATGCAGGGGCCAGAGCAGCTGCTGCCTGACACCATCGCCCCCCGCACACAGGCCAGCGAGCGCATGGGGGCTGACAGTGTCCGTCAGCAGCCACAGCCTGCCGGCCCCTCAACCAGCACACTCTAGGGCTCCACTGCCAGCAGTTCAGAGAAGCCGCCTCTGAGCTCGACGGCTGGCCAACAGCTGAGGAGGCGATGCAGTGGGTCGTGCCCGGGAAAAGGAGAGCATGCGAGGCCAGGAGGGACGGGACGGGGGGGAGGGAAACCAGCCGTGCTGGGATGCATCCAGCCATGTGGGACCTCAGCGAGTTAGCGGGCGGCTGCTTGAAGAGGGATGGTTGCCATCTCCGGGGCATAACGTGCGTGCCCACAGAGAGGGCTCTGAGTGCCGCCTCTGGCACATGTGCCATAGGTTCACCACCACTGGCTTATCCCTTCAGTTTTCTCTTTTGGGTTCTTCTAACTTGGATATATCAAAGTTGTTGACAAAGAATGTGACAAGGTAAGGACTGCTTTCTATTTACTTAACTGTTATCTATAATTAAATTGGACAACACAGGACAAGCCTGACCTCACAATTAAGGGAGGTGAACTAAATTTGTTAAACATTTATTGAAATTTGCTACCACTAAAGTTGCAGAATGATCTGCACTGCTTGTCTGTTTTTAAATTAATAGAATTTAAAATGTTGGTACTGGCCTATAAAGCCTTAAATGGTTTAGCATTTAACTGTCTAAGGGACAACATCTCCCATTAAAACTGACAATATCTGGTTGCTTTTGAAAATGCCTCTGTTGTCAGAAGATCCCCTTTCTGGCACATAGGAGAGGGTCTTCTCCCATGTTGCTCCCAAACTGTGGAACATGCCTCAGGCTTCCATTTTGTCCTCCGCTCTTTTGGTAAATGTCTATGGTAAATGTTTCACTTCTCATCCAAGAAGTTTCTTCAGTTCTCCAGAACTGAAGAAACTTCTTGGATGAGAAGCGAAATGTTTTCAAAGGAAAAAAAAAACCCAAGAAAGTCCAGTTGCCTTTTGAAAAGCACTTTTGGGGCAACCATGACCTGAATGATTGACAATCTCCATAGACATCTGGAGACACAGACACTTCTGAGAAAAAATCAGTTGTCCTCAGAAAATAACTAATCTTTTTTTTTCCTATTAGGACTTAAAGGTTCTTTTAACTTCTTCCTTCCTGTGCTTTTTCAGCTGAATTTTTGTTTTTGTGTATTGATAACAATCTCCACAACTTAGGAAGTGCTATACATGAACTGGACACATGTTGAAATGTACCTCTAAATGGAAACAGCAACTAAATTTCTGAGTACAATTGATAGTGTGGTTTGGGAAATCTGTTCCCTATAGTTAGAAAGTTGGAACAATTTTACACTTGATAAGTCAAAATGTGCAAATTCTAAACTTTGCAATTTAAGACTTACACAATCTTTGACATTTCACAAGTCACCCTATTAGTGTAACAAGTATTTTTAGTGAATATTAATGTTCAGATTTATAAGCGGCTTGATTGACTTAAATTTTCATTAGTGTTATCCAGATAATTCAGGGAAAGCAGAAAGTAACCTTTTCCAAGCTATCACCTTTCAGATCTGTTGACCATTGTTTCTCAACCTTGGCAATTTTAATATGTGTGGACTTTAGTTTTCAGAATTCCCCAGCCACACACATCTTAAAATGACTAAGATTGAGAAACACTGTAGATCCCAGATTTGTCAGATGATTTGGGACTGCAACTCCCACAAATCCCAGACAGCATATCTAAAGGAGTTAACAACCCAACACATTCTGGAAAAATATTAGCATAGGAGGATAATTTGGTGGACATCATACTTATTTTTTTCAGTTCACCCAAATTTCAATCATGCTTAGTTCCAGAGAAGATTGAGAGATAATTTCAGGCTTTCATATTTCTTGCTGTATATTTCCAGACTTTCTTTTCCTTCTGCAGGAATCCCAGTGAAAGAGAAAAGTTAGAGTCCTTTGATGTGAAAAAGCAATCTATCACTTCTCTGAAAGACCGGTCTCAGTCTCTCATGTGAAAAAGGATTAACACTACTGACAAAGGTCGTGCAAATCACAGAACTAAACAGTAGTGCTGAGCAGTATTCTTCAAGTGGAAGAACTGTATTTAAGCAATGAGGATAGGAATGGCAAACAGAAGCTGTTTTAATAGCTAAAGATCCCAGATAAAGGCTTAAACCTTTCTTGAGTATCCAC